GTTTGGCTATTGCATTCACAGGTCACACCCACTCTTCCCCCGCCCCATCCAACTTGGGGCGGAAGGAAGTGGCAGATTCACTTTAATTTCCTCTTGGCAGTGAGAAGCAAACAATCAGCCACTACCTCCTCATCTCTTGGGGCCTCCTCCACTTACTGGGAGGGGCATTCTGACCAAAGGTCTCTGCCCAGCTCCGCCCCCATTTCCTCTGCTGTAAACATGCTGTGTGTCCTCCCCTTTTCTATGCACTATGAGGGGAGGATTCCCCTCTGGGCCAAGGCTATCTTCCCTACATCTCCCTTGGATCAACCGAATGGCTCTGTGGCAACCTGACCTAGCGTCTGGCCCCCTTTCTAGCCAGTAGCCCTTGTCTCCATGGGTCTCTGAGTCAAGGGTTTGGTGGGTGAGGCTTTGTCCTAGTCCCAGTGCTACCCTTCCCTGTCACCCACACTTGCTTTTTTGTGTTGAGATAAGAATACTCAATCCCAGCTGCCTCCCAGAGCCTTGGAACTGCGCAGACAGAATAGCCCCAGTGGAGCGCCCCCTCTGTCACTGGGGAGGCATTGATCTTTTCTCCTGTCAGTGTGGTTTTCCTGGGGATGTCTCCTTCCCCTTCAGGGTTAGGTTCATTGATGGGCCATGGGGAAGGACAGGTAGGGATAGAGTTCTATTAAGATAGAGGCTGGAGTTTGGAGCCTCTGAGGGCATAGGGGAGAGGCTCATTCACTAGAGTCAGGTAGGGAGGGGCTGGTTACTTTATGTCTGGTGACTGAGGACGTTTGGCATAGGTCCTAGTTGAGGGACTGGGGTGCGGGGGCTCAATGGTAACGCACTTGCCTGACACGTGTGAGGCACTGGGTTCGATTCTTGGCACCACATATAAATAAATAAAGGTCTATCAACAACTAAAAAAAAAATAAAAAAAAAAAGGTCCTGGTTGAATATGTTGGTCCTCAAACGGTCTCACTTTATTGCACCTCAGTGGTAACCTGCCCAAAGCCTGGGACTGAGAGCCTTAGATAAGCCTAAAGACTTTACCCACCATTAGTGACCATGCCTACCTTAAATTAGGCCACTTAAAACCCCCAGACCCCTTTCTGGGCTAGTAGCTACAACACTTATACATCCATTTACCCACTTTTGAGGCCTTTCCCTTAACTCATATTTTAGGGACAAAAGGTTGTGTTTTTTTCCTAATATTTATTAGTTATTGATGGACCTTTATTCATTTATTTGTTTATATGTGGTGGTGAGAATCTAACCCAGTGCCCCACACATACTAGGCAAGTGCTCTACCATTGAGCCACAACCCCAGCGGACTAAAGGTTTTGATATGAGCACAAGAGGGAGAGGTGAGTAAGATTGGAGAAGGTGGCAGGATTTTCAGTGGTATCCAATGGTAAAGAAGACTGGATTTGTGCAAAGGTGAAGAGGAAATCTCTTAGATCTACAGTTCCTTATCTTAGGGCCTCCCTGGATATCTTGCGACTGCCCTCTGGASTGAGACCAAACCCCTCTGCCTAGTGAGGACAAAGTGCTGACCTATCTTCTCAGCATTCTCAGCACCCTGTGCTGACTCCAGCAGCTAACTTTCTGAGGGTGTAGTTGGCTGGTCTTATCCTTTCCACCCTGATTTGGGAGCTGCACAAGGGCAGTCCTTATGTCCTTTATGGCCAGTGTTGGCCTGGGGGTTGGGGAGCAAGCACAGAAGACTAAACCAAGACTTCAGATGAGAGATTCATGGCATGGAGAGGAGGAACTTGTTTAAATTGAGTTTCCGCCAAGCCTCCTGTTTCCCCCTTGAGTGAAATAAGGGGCTGGGTTGGGCTAAACTATACCATCCTATGGCTTTGAGGACACAGAACCTTCAACAGTGGGACCTCAGGACCAGGCCTGTGGCAGCTGGTAAAAGAAATATCTTTATCTGATATTCAGGCCTGGCTGGCATTCACACATGAGGGAGAAGGGTGTTCCTGCATTCTACTTCCCTGGCTCCTGGGCTTTCATTTCATAGTGCTCTTACGTAAGGAGTGGATCAGATGACCTGCAGGGCCTTTGGAACTTGTCTTATAAAGAGATAATGAGGGGAGATCTTGGCCCTTGCTGGGAAAGAGGGTGGAAACAGTATGCATTTTTGGGTGTGTGTTTATAGGTCCCTTCATAACCTGCAGCATCCTGGCTATTGTTACTTTTTTTTTTTTWAAAAAAAACAAAACCAATTGTTCCCTGCAGTTGGTGGCCACTCCTGCTCCAGACCTCATCATTCCTTGTTAAATTCTCAGTTTATTACAAACCAGAAGTCTGCCCCACAACATGACCCATTCTAAGTGTTCTCCAGATGCTGTCCTTGCATTGCTGAGCATTTAATAAATGGGCAAATTTTTCAAGCCATCTACATTTTGTCTGAGGTCCAATTGGGGTATAGGGGTGAAGGAGCTGGCAGGCCCTGGATCTCTCTCTTGCCTGCCTTTTGGTCTGAGTGGCTGAGCTCCTGGTTCAGGTGAAATTGTGTCTGGAGGGAAAGAAGACCTGGGATAAGGGTCTATTTTCTAAATGCAGATGACAACCTGGGAGGTATGTGTATAATGGTGGGGAAGGGGAGTCATCCTGAAGTTGCTTTAAGTTTTGTGCGGTGGGGAGGTGAGCTGACTAAGCTTTTGGCACCTTACACTATACCAGGGTCATATTGCATGAGGTACTAATAGGTGGGCCGTTAACTTGAGGCAGAGGGCTACAGAGCTGGAATGGCATTAGGGCTCCAGGTTGGAGATCCTCTGAAGGCAGGACTGCTTGTTGGGAAGAACTTTCTACCTAAAGCCATTTTTCCCCCTAGTTGGTCAGTTTGTCATCTCCTGCCTTTAACCTCATCCAGCTCCCCATTCCAGTGTTCCATCCAGAATTCTGATCATATAATACCCTTGCTCTAAACCCTTCCATAGCTCTCTACTGTCCTCAGGATATAAATCCAGGCATCTTGAAGTGGCCTACAGATCTCTGCCCACACATCCAGCTTCCCCTTTGTCTACTGCTTATTGCAGGTACTTTCTGGTCTCCAAGTCTTTGGAAGTCTGTTCTTTGCCTGGAACAACCTTTCTTACCTCTTGCTTGTATCTCCTGTTCTTACCTCCCCTATGAAGGTCCTGCAGCCAGGGAATTTTGAACCTTTTCAGAACTGCTGGCACAGCTCTAATCTCTTTGCACAGTAATTAGAGATTTGCTGTTACCCTTTCCCTGACCCCTGAAGGGAGACTTAATTTATCTCTACATCCCCAGATCCAGAGTAGGTAAAGGCATACAGCACTGGGCAGGAATGAACTGGTCCAAGATGAATGTCTCACATGCTCAGGACATTCCTAGTTCTCCTGACCTAGTTAGGTTCCCCCTAGGGCTCCCTGGTAGCTCAGGAGTCACTGAGATCTCTACAAAGAGCTCCACCTTGCCTCCTCTCCCAGGGGTTTTTGTGGGTGGTGTGGGTATGCTGTAGGCCCTGTGAGGTGGCACTTTTCAGGCCTCCCATCTGCACCCAAGCCTCTTGAGGCAGCACCGTGGGTTCCTCCAGTAACGCTTTTCAGGAGAACACTATGCCCTGTGGGCCTTTTGCCAGGGGCAAGGAGCCCGGGGAGACCATCATTAGTGCCTCTCCTGACTCCCTGTCTACTCAGGAGCCTCAGTGGATCCCTCAAGTAAACAAGCCCAAGCTCAGAGTCCCCAGACCCAAGAGGCAAGGTCTTGGGCCGTCCTAGGAGAAGGCAGGCCTCTGGGGATGGACGGGACAAGATCCCTCCTGCAGTCATGGCTGTGTATGGCGACATAGAGGTCAAAACTGAGTGGCCCGAGATCACAAGGAGTTCCCTGCTCTGCCTGCTCAACTTTGATAGGAAGATAAACCCTGCCCCTCTGTCTTTTCGATGGAAGCCACACTGCTTCCAAGCAAGGCAGGCTAGTGGGGCAGACAAAGGTGCAACCACCAAGACGCGGGCCCCTAATCCACCGTAGAGGGTCTGTTGCTACCCATTTCTGTGGGCTCCATCCACTCCCTGCTCTTTCGAAATACCACCGCTGAGGTTGGGATGGAGGGATGGGATTGAACCCAGGGGGCGCCTAACCATTGAGCTACGTCTCCAGCCCTTTTTATTTTCTATTTTGAGACAAGGTCCCGCTTAAGTTGCTGAGGCTGGCTTTTGCGATATTCCTGCCTCAGCCTCTGCCACCTGAGTCGCAGGGATAAGGCGCGCGCCACCGCGCTCAGCAGCTTTTATTTTTGCTCCCGCTGACCTCGAGATCACACAGCCTCAGCCTTCCGAGGTGTGGGGATTAAAGGCGCGTGCCGCCCAGGCGGGCCACCATACATTCTTTAAATCAGGAGTAACTCTAAACGGCCGCCCATCATCAAACCCATAACCTTACTGGTGCTCCTTCCTCGACGTGAACTCTGCCTAATGAGGAAAGGCATCTTCTCCAATTGGCCTGTGGTGGTTTCCCTAATCCAACTGAAGAGGACTATGGGCTCTAACACGGGCTTGGTTTAGGAGTTCCAGAGGGAACAGAGGCGTAACTACAACTCCCGGGAGGCAACAAGGCCTTCGTGTCCCTATTCACGTGACTTCCTTCTCGCAGACAGGGAAGTCACACGATGGTTGGCGAGGGGCGGGGCCCGCAGCGCTGCCGGCCTACGAGTGGCCGGGTCGGATGGGCGCGCGGCAGGGGGCGGGGCCGGGTGCGCGGTACGGCGCGGGCGCGCGCCAGCAGCGGCGGTGGTGGCGGCGACTCTTGGGGGGCGGGGAACTTTGGCCAAGGTGGCGGTGGCGACTTAGACACCGCAACTGGCGGCGTTTTTGCAGCTTCTGCTGCTGCTCGACGCACGGCCAGCTTTCTACTTCTAAACGAAACGCTCAGCGTGGCGGGCCACGCCCGGAAAGTTTGCCGAAGAGCCACGACCTCCTGGCCGGCGCGGCCCGGCATGAAGCGGCGCTGAGGAGCCCGCTGCCGCCGCCGCTGCCGCCGCCGCCGCCTGAGGAGGAGCCGCGGCATTCCGGGCCACGCCGATGACTACTGCAAACTGTGGCACCCACGACGAGCTCGACTTCAAACTCGTCTTTGGCGAGGACGGGGCGCCGCCGCCGCCGCCGCCCCCGGGCTCGCGGCCTGCAGGTGGGTGCCGGGCCCGGCGGGACTGAGGAACGTGCCTCTCCAGGCTAGTGCGAGCTCGCTTTTGCCTGGTTCTCCGATTGTTCGGGCACTGTTAACCTGGTGTGAGTGAGCGTACTGGGTAAAGACAAATTTAAAGAGCTGAGGAGGTGTGTGAGTTGCTGTACCGTGGAAGTGGCTGCTCGCTTGCCTGTGAAGCAAACTAGGGAGGAACTTGACTCCGGGACGCCAGTGGCCGGTGCATACCCGGGGTTTGGAGGCCGAGGGTCGGGGCCGCAGCCCAAGTGGCGTCTGGTTGTCGCTCCTTTGCCAGCGTGGTGCAGAGAAAATGTTATCTCAGTGTTATGTGAGGCGCACTTGGTATTTCATCTGTGCTAGGTTGTTTTAAAAATTCTTCTTCTTTTTTTTTTTTTTAAAGAGGCGTATTTGAGGGGTAGGATTCTTTTAAAATTCGTGTACTGTTTTAAAAAATTTACGTTGCTAGGGAGTAATGCTTTCGGGATAACTTTCAGTTGTGCAAGTTTATGGCCTATACCTAATTCGGAGTGTAATTATAACGGAATTTATCTGAAAACTGTTTTCTTGCTACAAGAAAGTGTAAGTTTTGTTTTGTTTTAAAGTAGGATATCTTTTTCATAATTATCCTAGAAAGTTCTGAAAGTCTTGTTTTAAGAGAAAGCTCTCTCCTTAGAACATTTTAAAGGAGATCGTAAATTGGGAAAGCTGGACACTGTAATTCTTGCAGGTCAGACCAATCAGGAAATTGAAACAGGACGACTGGGAACTTGGGATTCTTCTATGACCTGGTTTGGAATACTGTGGTTCATTAAGTTCAGTTACATATGCAGGAGAACCCAAAAAAGTGGATGGGTAGGGTAATCTCTATTTATTCTTTCTGGGTATTTAGGTGAATTACTTCATTTTAATATTGATGTTTAACAAATGGTTCTCTAGAGTTGAATTGGAAATTTACCCGAACGTGAGGCATAAGAATTCTCTGGGCGCTTCAATACTTGTTTTATAAGATCTTTTTATTCTTTATGTTTAGGTGTCTTTTTCAAAGTAATAAATAATTTGCAATAGTTATTTATTGGCTGCATTTCTTTTCCGTTTTCTTTTTCTTTTTGTACCGGGGATTGAACTCAGGCCACTTGACCACTGATATCCCCAGCCCTATTTTGTATTTTATTTAGAGAGGGTCTCACTGAGTTGCTTAGTGCCTTGCTTTTGCTGAGGTTGGCTTTGAACTCACCAGCCTCAGTCTCTCTGTACAGGCAGGCATGCTGGCTCTTTTCAGTTCCACCAACATTTGAGCATCTATTATGTTAAATGTGGTGTTACTTTGATGCAAAAAGGACTGGCTTCTCRGGAGTTGGGGCAATAGTTGGAGGAAACACATAGTCCAAATAACTAGGCAGATTGACTCATGATGTATTTTGTAACAGAGGAAGAAACAGGAAAAGTGGAATTTGTGGAGAGGATGGCATTAAATTGTACTCAGATTATTGGGACTAAATAAAATAAAAACAACGTGTTAGAGTACGTTATAAAGAAGATAAACAATTGATACCAACTTTCCTAGGCACAGATTTTGCTAGGGTCAATTATACACTAAATATATAATTAATAAAGGTGTTAACCAAACATGAATTTTAAAAGGGTGTTGTCATCTAAGTAGGAATTGTATGTACATCAGAAGAAGAAAAAAAACAAAACACCTTTTTTCTTTGTGATACTGGGGATTGAGCCCAGGGTGCTCTGCCAACTTGAGTTAAACATTTTTTTTTTTGGGGGGGGGTAGCCTTTTTTTTTTTCTTTAAGGGTAGTGGGAATTTAACTGGGCTTTATCTTTAAACCCTTTTAAAATTTTATTTGAGACAGATTCTTTGCTAAGTTGCTGAGGCTGGTCTTGAGCTTGCAATTCTCCTGCCCACGTCTTCCCAAGTTTCTGGGATTACACATGTGCACTACCATGCCTGGCTTTTTATTTTTTACTTATTTTTTTGTACCAGGGATTGAACCCAGGGACACTTAACCACTGAGCCACATCCCCAGCCCTTGTTTATTTTGAGGCAGTCTTCCTAAATTGCTGAGACTGGCCTAATTGTATGATCCTCCTACCTCAGCCTTCTGAGTAGCTGGTATTACAGGTGAATGCCAGTTGCCCCCTGCAGAAATAAACGTTTGATATTAAAATGAGTCTTGATTTATAATTGATATTACTAAAGGTAAAATGAGTAGTTTTATTTATGACAAAAAAAGTCCGCTTTTCTAACTGGTAAAGTTTTTAAAAATTAAGGTGAAGTACATGTGAATAAGTAAACTATTTTCAAATCAACAATTTACTGTCATTTAGTACACTCATAGTATTGTGCCTTACCACTTCTAATTCCAGATCATCTTCATTACCCCAAAAGAAAACTTGTACCCATTAAWCCTCATTCTTCTTCCCCTCCCAGCCTTTGGCTACCAACAATCTGATAAGTGTAATTATGAGTACAGTATGTTTCCAGGGATTGATTCATTCTGTGTATTTCATATAAATGAAATAATATGATATATAACCTTTTGTCTCTGATTTCTTTCAATTAAGATGTTTTCATAGTTTGTTCACTGTCTATCATGTATGCATACTGCATTCCTTTCTGGAGCTAAGTAGTATTCCATTGTGAACATATAACTCATCACAATATATTTATCTCTTCATCCAGTGATAGACATTTGGGTTGTTCCATCTTTTGGTTATTGTGAATAGTGCTGCTGAACAGCACTGATAAGTGTAATTATGAGTACAGTATGTACTTTAAAGGAATTAAGTAGATTAATTGAATGCTTTTGGGAAGGTAGAATATGCAGTGAGGTAGGCCATGAGAATAAAATTGGAGAATTGATCAGTACTTGGTTGTTTAAATGTATTTACTTGGTTTTGGATTCTTTTCCTCTCTGGAATGGAAGCTCCTTGAGAGGAGGGTTAGTGTTTGTATGTTGTTAATAATTATATTGTTCTTCGTTGTGGCTAGCACACTGCTTTGATGTAGTAGGCACCTGATATTTATTTAATTAATAAATAAATACCATGTTAAAAATTAAAAAAAAATATTAAGTTGTAGATAGACACAATACCTTTATTTTATTTATTTATTTTTATGTGGTGCTGAGGATAGAACCCAGTGCCTCACAGGTGCTAGGTAAGCGCTCTACCACTGAGCCACACCCCCACACCCCCCATGTAAAATTTTGAGTCAGTCATTTTTTTCCTAGTAGATGAAGTTAATGATGTTTTTTCAGTTCTTTGCTTTTGTTGGTTTAATTTCATAAGGTAGCAAATCATGATAATTTGGGCCTGCAGTGGGTATGCATCTCTCAAAAGGTTTGAGGGTACTTAGCACATCTAAATTTTTTTTTTAATTTCTCTTTCTTTTTKKGGGGGGGGGCACATCTAAATTTTCATACAGGGAAAATATTTTTGAAAAATGTTTGGTGGGAGGAGGAGATAGAGAGTAAAGCCAATCTAAAGGGCTGAATTTAATGTGTGTGCTAAGCAAGCTTGCTAAAGCTTCTACACAGTAGATGATTTGTGGCGTACTTGATAGCATTAAATATATATATATATATATATATATATATATATATATGATTTTATATATATATGATTGACTTTTTTAATGTTTTGCTTATTGAGGTGTTTTGAGATTTTTTTTCCCATTGAAGAAAATTTAAGACTTTAGAGTCTTTAGTTGTTTTTTATTTTTGTTTTAGCTCCCAGTGCTTCCTCTGATTTTCCCAGTTAAAACGGGAAAACTATTTTATTAGACTTTCTTCTTGTACCCAGCTTCAAATTGATGATACCTACCCCTCAATAGTAAATAGAGACTTTAAAATAGGTACCTGTTTAATATTAATTTCATTATTTGCCATTGTAAAGACCAGCTTCTGATACCCTATTTTGGTGTACTAAATATATATCTAATTTTGATGTTATAATAAACTTTATTTTGCAAATTCAGAGTTTCATTGTGAAATATTGATTTTCTAATCTTCAACGGGAGTCACTGGGAGGAATGTATGCTACACTGTGTAGTATCTTAACCTACTGCAGTTTCCTAAAAGAAGCAATATCTTAGWTATAATACATATTTTTGTAAGAAACTTTATTATAAGATTTAATTTTGCCAGGTATTACTTAAAAAAAAAAAAACTTGTAACAAGTTTTTTCACATGTGAAATTGAGGAACTTTTCTCRGATGATCTATCTATTTATTTATTTATTTGGTACTCAGGGGTACTCAACCACTGAGTCAATCCCAGCCCTATTTTGTATTTTATTTAGAGACAGGGTCTCTCTGAGTTGCTTAGTGCCTCACTTTTGCTGAGGCTGGCTTTGAACCAGTGATCCTCCTGCCTCAGCCTCCAAAKCCACTGGGATTACAGGCATGGGCCACCATGCCCACTTTGGGTGATTGTTTAAGACTATGATTTAGTGTTTTTGTCTTGTGCTTGGAGATCTGCTGTATGTGTTCATTATAATTTATTGCCTCTTAGATTATTTTCTCATTTTTCAGTTTTATTTTTTACTCAAGGGTTTTATTTTGATGCTCTTTAATGGTAGTTAACATTTTTTTGTAACACAATAGGCTGGTTCCCCCCACCCCTGCTAGTTGTCAAATTTGGTTTTAGACATTTTATCTGTTTTTTAAAATTCTCTTAATTCTAGTCTTTATTCTTTAAATGTTACTTCTTTTCTCATATTTTACCAAGTAAGTGTAAGTACTGAAGGTCATTTGCTTTTTATTTATTTATTTTAGTTGTCGATGGACCTTGATTTATTCATGTGCGTTGCTGAGAATCCAGCTCAGTGCCTCACACGTTAAGCAAGCACTCTACAACTCCGGCCAGGTCATTTCCCTTTTTTGGGGGGTACCAGGGATAGAACTCAAGGGTACTCAGCCACTGAGCCACATCCCCAGTCCTGTTTTGTATTTTATTTAGAGACAAAGTCTCAC